GGGACTGCCTGCACTCGGACGCTGCAGCCTCTCCTCTGTTACACACCACACCACATATACACACAACGCAACACGCAAACTGCACTAAGCACACCACATACACACCACACCACATTACACACAGCACACATACATACACCATACACTCCACTACACATACACTACATACACCACACACACCCCACTACACACACAACACACACACACCACTACACGCACACATCACATACACTACATACACCACACACACACCTAACTACACACACATATACTATAGTACACACACATACACACCACACATCCAACACACACACACCACTACACGCACCATCACATACACTACATACACCACACATACACCCCACTACATACACACATACAATGCCACACACACATACACACCACACATACAACACACACACATCACACACACATCCCACAACACACATACAATACCACACACATACACACCACACATACAACACACACACCACACATACCACACACTCCACTCAATTTGCACACACCACATACACATACACACCATATACACCACACACACCCCCAACGACATACATATATACAATGCCACACACACATACACACCACTCCACACATGCACACACACCACACACAACACACACAACACACACACTGCTATACACCATGCTGGACTTATCAAGCATTGGTAGGAAGGAAGAGAAACCAGTCCATCAAGAGGGAGTAACGTGTATATTATCCTCACACCCCAACATTTAGAGATCTAAGAAGAAAAATAAGGCATGTCTGGTTTGGAGCTTGTAGAAGGTATGCCAGTCACCCTGCCAGACCCATTTCTCCTCCGTACAGAAAGTTTCCAAGGTTGAGCCCCCTGGGAAAGGGCCCTCAAGCTTTACTAGTGTGAAGGAGGAGGAGGAAGAGAAAGAGGTGATGAGAGGGACCATGGCAGCAAAGTGAGTGCACCACTCACATCAGCATGAGTGGACGAGCCTCACTTTCAGAGAGAAAGGACAGGGGCCTAGAAAGGTCATCCTGGCCAGGGACACAGCAAAGAAACAGCCCAGAGTGACCCCACAGTGGGACCCAGGCCCTGCCCCACCCTGTAGGTAACAGAGGCAATGCAGCTGGGGTTTCAGGTGTGGTTCCCACACAGAGCAGGAGAAGAAAGCGCATCTACACACCTCCTTGCAAAGCTCTTCACATTTGCAAAGTTCTATTGCTGAATTTTTTCAACAGCCTGGCAGGGTCTTACCACAATTGCTGTCACCTGACACCCAGGGAAGTCAGACGTCAGAAGCTGAGGACACAGTAACACACAGAGCAAAAGACAGCACACAGCGGCACACAGAGCACACACACGGACAACCCAAAGAACCACGGAGGTGAAGACAATACCCAAACTGCACTGCATCCTGTAGCCTTCCTCCACTCTAGCTTCTCTCTCCCGAGGAGGATGCTGCTACAGAGGGCAGTGCCAAAGAAGCCAGAGCCAGGACAGGACATGAGGTGGCCCTGAACGTCCTTTCTTGGGTTCAGCTTCTCCATGGCTCAGGTCCCAGCCTTGCAGTCTCCCTACCTTCTGGTTCTGGCCCAGAGACTGTGCTGCAGAAGGCAGGTCTTGCAGAGACTTGGTGCAGGTGTGACAGGCTTCATATAGCAGTTGTTGGCCCAGGGTCATAAAGCACAGCCACCTTCTGAGGAGGGACCTCAGGGTGACACGGGCCACTGCTTCTGGCTGTCAACCTATGCCCTGCCCAGCCATAGAGCCCCAGGCAGCTTAACTCTTTGGTAGCTGCACTGTTGATGTCCTCTCTGAGACCTTTAGGTATTAGGAGCAATTTTGATAAAAGCCTGGCTTTAGCAAAAGGTATGTGAGAGCAAGATATCTTCCAACGTCTGCTATGGCTCACTAAACCCATTCCACAATTTGTTAAGGAGAAACATTGCCTATATCAACTTGGTAAAACAGTCACCATCATCATCCCCATTTCCACTGATTGGGAATAAACACATAGAGGTCCAGGCAAAGGGGCAGGAATTTTATCTCCAAAGGAGTCTGAGTCAAGAACGTGGCAAAGGGCCCAGTCGAGAGCATACATCCTCACCCTACTTGCTTTCTGTCTGTGTTAGCTTCTGGGAACTCTCATCGATGGGCTTATTCCTCCAGCTTGGAAATGTGAGAACACACTAAAAATAGTGAAATTAGTGTTCCAACATTCCCACCCCTCAGTCACTTTGCAGAAGAAAGGTGCATGCCCTGAAAGACACACTTGCCAGTCATCTGTGCCCTTGATGGTTATCATCCTGAGTCTTGAGTTCTCCATCTTTCAAATGCAAAAATCACCATCACCCACTCACAAGCTGTCCTGAGCATTAGAAAGAGGTCACATAGGCAGACATTTAGCATGCAAGCATACCATCATTAAAAGCTTTGAAAACGAGGGCTACTATTGATGCTATGGCTCCATGAGCTCACACCTATGACACCACAGCCTAAACAGGCAGTCACACTGCATAGGGTAGTGACTTAAAGTGAGGCCCAAGCCTCAGAGTCAACTGCTGCCAGCTTCTAATTGAGTCAGCTTAGAAGACTGCATATTGTAGGTGGCACCTGTGGCTTAGTGAGTAGGGCGCCGGCCCCATATACCAAAGCTGGCGGGTTCAAACCTGGCCGCAGCCAAATTGCAACCACAACAAAAAATAGCCAGGCATTGTGGCAAGCACATGAAGTCCCAGCTAATCAGGAGGATGAGGCAAGAAAATCATTTAAGCCCAAGATTTGGAGGTTGCTGTGAGCTGTGTGACACCACAGCACTCTACCGAGGACCATAAAGTGAGACCCTGTCTCTGCAAAAGAAAAAAAGAAGATTACACATTGAGCATCAGTTTCCTCACCTGAGTGAAAATGACAGCTGTGGTACTTAATTTCTGTAAAGATTAAAAGATGTTGGGGTTGCGTTTACTTCTCCAACAAGCTGTACCAAAACATCAACCTACATTCTTTTCTTTGTACCACTCTTTCAAACAGAGTAATTTAATACCAGAAAAATTAAGAGAAAAAGCATACAATGCTCTTTGAACAGTGCATAGAATATTAGAAATTTGGCTCAAGGAAATTCTGCTCAAGGAAATTAATATCACTAACTCAATCACTAATAGTTTAGCTGAGCTTCCTTCAGGGCTGGTAACATGTCTAGGATTAAATCAGCTAATCATCTCAGGAAATATAACCATTTCTGTTAAAGCTCAGTCTTTAGGGGTGGCGCCTGTGGCTCAGAAGGGTATAGGGTGCCGGCCCCATATGCTGGAGGTGACGGGTTCAAACCCAGCCCCAGCCAGAAAAAAGAAAAAAAATCCTCAGTCTTTAAATACAAGGCATATTTGAAGGATTATTGCATGTACCAATTATAAAGCCAGTTTGTCTGCAAGACTACTAATATACATTTTCACTCAGGTTAAGTTAGGAAGACAAAAATAGAACAACAGATAGGCCTGGCTTGACTCATGTTTATATACATTATTAGCTGTGTGACTTTGGTTAATACTCTCAGTATCTCTATCAAAACAAAGGGACAATGCCTGTTTTGCAGAGTGCCTTACAGAGTTTTCAAAAATGACTGCTTTTTCCTCCTTGTCCTTCCTGTGACAGTTTAGCCTTAAATTTTCACATTTATTCAACCAACTCCTGTATGTGCTTCCGTGCCAGGTCCTGGCACAAAGCTGAGTTCCTTGCCTGCCCTGTGATTTTAAGCTAATAACAACAACTATGAGGCCTGATGTGATAGCTCATGCCTGTGATCCTAGCACTCAGGGAGGCTGAGGTGGGTAGGGTGCTTGAGTTCAGGAGTTTGAGAGCTGCTTGAGCAAGAGCAAGAACCTCCACTAAAAATAGAAAAGCTAGCCAGGGCTCGTGGCAGGAGTCTGTAGTCCCAGCTGTGAGGGAAACAAAATAGAAGCAGAGGTAGGAGCTGACAGCACTGAGGTGGGGAGATGGTGCAGACAGCATGGGCTGGACACCACTCTGAGAGGCTGACAGGTGACAGGGACCAGGTGAGGGATGAGGAGGGTAAGACAGTCCCAGAAAGTAAACAAAAAGCATGAGTAAAATAAGGTTTATTGGTGAAGAGGAATGTATAT